ATGAATTTGACTACTCTTGGTACCTCATCTAAGTGGAATCATACAGCGTTTATCTTTTTGTGATTTTGTGATTGGCTCATTTCCCTTAACATAATGTGCTCAAAGTTCATCCATGTCATAGCATATGTCAAATGCCCTCCCTTTTCAAGGCTAAGTAATATTTCATTGTATGTATACCACATTTTGTTTATCCATGTATCTCCTGTTGGACACTTGGGTTGCTTCTACCTTTTGGCTATTGTGAATAATGCTACAATAAGCATGGGTATACAAATGTCTCTTCTAAACCCCACTTTCAATTATTTTGCATATGTACTCAGAAATGGAATTACTAGATCATATGGTAATTCTATTTTTGATATTTTGAGGAATTGCCATGCTGTTTTCCATAGTGGCCACATCATTTTACATTCTCACCAATAGTGCACTTGTTATGTTCTTTCCTTTCTTTCTTTTTTTAAAAGAAATGTGTGAAAAGTTGTATTAGTAAGCTATAGCTGCAAAATAAAACTCGGTGGGTTAAAACAACAATCTTGTATTATTGCTTATGAATCTGCATAGTGCCAGCTTGGATTAGGATCAGCTGGGTGGTCCTCTGGTTTTGGCTGGGTTCACCCACACACCTGGAGTCAACAGCTGGATTGTCTGTGGGAGTCAAGGGAGGGCCCCGCTTGGGGACTGGAGACTGCATGTGACAGGGATGAACCACCCTGCTGGTTTTGTATGTTTAGCACAGATATTTGAAAATTCTTAAAAATACTGAAAGTAAGAATGAGAAGTCCATGAATGAATTTTCCTCAGACTGTTTTTCAGATAACCTTGGGGTTTAACCACAAACGTGCCAAATACTAATTTTAAAAATTATTTTTCAATTTTGGAATAATTTTAGGTTTATAGTAAAGTTGCAACAGCAGCACAGAGAGTTCCTGAATATCCTTTACTCAGCCTCCTCTAATGTTAACATCCTACGTTACTGTGGTACATATGTCAAAACGAACAAACCAGTTGGTACATTACCATTAACTAAACTCTAGACTTTCAGCCGTTTTTCCATTAATGTTCTTTTCCTGTTCCAGGATACAATCTAGGAAACCACACTTCATTTAGACAACTATTACCTTTAATTTTTAAAGCACTTTTAGGTTCATAGCAAAATTGAGATGAAGGTACAGAGATTTCTCAGTTCCTACTCATGTGTGGCCTTCCCCATTATCAACATCTCTTACCAGGATGACATAATTGTTACAACTGATGGAATTACACTGACAGATCGTAATTACCCAAAGTCTATAGTTTACATTGGGGTTCATTCTTGGTGTTATACATTCTGTGTGTTTGGACAAATGTATAATGACAAGTATCCATCTTTATAGTATCACACAGAATAATTTCACTGCCCTAAAAATCCTCTGTGTTTCACCTAACCATCCCTCCTTCCCACTCCCCAATCCCTGGCAAACACGAGTCTTTTTGCTATCTCTATAGTTTTGCCTTTTCCAGAGTGTCATATAGTTGGAATCATATAGTATGTAGCCATTTCAGATTGGCTTCTGTAACTTTGCAATATGCATTTAATTTTCCTCCGTATTTTTTCATGACTTGATAGTGCATTTCTGTTTTGGCACTGAATAACCTTCCATTGTTTGGATGTGCCACAGTTTATTTATACATTCACCTACTGAAGGACATTTTAGTTACTTCCAAGTTTGGACAATTATGAATAAAGCTGCTGTAAATATCCATGTGCAGTTTCTCGTGTGGACATATGTTTTCATCTCCTTTGGGTAAATACCAAGGAGTGTAACTACTCTGTCATATGTTAAGAGTATGTTTAGTTTTATAAGAAACCGCCAAGCTGTCCTCCAAAGTGTCTTGTACCATTTTGTGTTCCCACTAATTTTGTATGAGAGTTCCCGCTGCTCTACATCCTTGCCAGCATTTAGTGTTGTGAGTGTTCCAGATTTTGGACATTCTAACAGCGGTATGGTGCTATGTCATTGTTTTAACTTGTACTTCCCTAGTGGCATATGGTGTGGAACATCTTTTCATATGTTTATTTGCCACTTGCATATCTTCTTTGATGAAGTGTCTGTTGAGGTCTTTGGCTCATTTTTTAATTGGGCTGTTTATTTTCTTATTGTTGTGTTTTCAGGGGTTTTTGTATATTCTGGGTAGCAGTCTTCTATCAGATGCGTCTTTTGCAAATATTTTTTCCCAGACTGGCTTGCCCTCTTCTCTTGACTTTTTCACAGAGCAGAAGTTTTTATTTTCAACCATTAATTTTAACTGTTAAAAAATTCTCCAATGAAGAGGCACATCACGATGAAACAGCTCTTGATGGAAGACACCTTGGTTGTTCTGTGAGGAGTCCCCCACTTGGAGTGGTGCATTCTCTCAGGTCTTAGCTAACTCTGGCCATGTCGTGTTAGTCAGTCAAGTCGAATTGCATCTGTTGGCTTCCTAATGTCGCGTGGCACTGAGGCGTTTGTTCCTTCAACTTTCCAAGCTTCAGAAAACCTCCCTCTTTCCTGAGCCTCTTTCCGATGCTGAGCTTCCCTTTTTCAGGGGCGCCCAGGCGGTTTTCTCACATCCCCAGAAGGCCTCTCCTTGCCCACACAACTCCTTTCTCAAGCCTCTGGTAAAATGCATGGGATTGAATGTATGTGACTGTTACCATCAGATTCCTGGTTTAGAGCTGTGACTCTCAGTGGTGGGGACGGGGGTGGCGGAACGGGAGGGGCTGCGGAGGGGAAAGGCTCTTTCACGCTCCGCTTGGCTTCCCTGCCCACTTTAGAACGACTGCTATTGATGTGAACATGATGTATCTTTTGTTAGGTTTCCCCCCAAATAAAACCCAAACAAACGCTGGTTATTAGGGGAGTTGGTTAAATAATTAAGCTTTTTGTCTTTCTACAAATGTAATAAGTCTGTTCTCCTAGAGACAGAGATAGCAGGCTCCTGCTGTACCCCTTGTTTGATCCTTTTATTTTTTCCTGCAGGTCATTCTGAGTCCTTCCCCACTATTTCGACTTCAGGGCCTTCTCCAGAGCCATAACTTACTTCAGGGCTGTGCTGTCATGCCAGATATGAGCTGCGGGCAATGAAGCAACAGAAGGCTGGTCCCAGAGGCCCTGGAACTTGTTTTCTTGGCCAGTCCCTGATGTCAACCAGCCCTGGGTCATTTGCTGTCTCCTCAAAAGGGAGAGTGGGGCACGCACAGCTGCCTGACCCCTGGGCTGGACGATGTGCCTGCCTTTCTAGCGAGCTAATCAGCAAAGGCAAAGGCAGAGGCAGAAGCAGTTTCCCCCCCTCAAGTGATTTCTTGCCTCCAGAAAGTTATTATCTTCCCGGGTGCACTCAGTGACTCATGACTTGTCAGCACCACTCAAAACATTATTGTTTCTGTCCACAGGACACAACACATGTGCTTCCACTTACAGTTTGTGCTTTCATTGCACGCACACCTAATACCACCCAGTCAATTGCCAGCCCTTTATGCACACTCGCAGTGGAGGTGTGAAACTTGGTTAAGATATGCCAGAATTTCTGTAATAAGCAGTACAGTCTTCCTTGGGGCCACAAGAAGATCTTAAATAGAAGCAAATTATTGCTTTGCTCAAAATGCAATAGAAATTTACAGAGTAACCGGAAGAAACCTATAGAACTCACTACAGAGCTCTCTAGGTGATTAAGTCAAATTTGAACACCAAAGTAAGTGTGCAAATCCTTTTTCGCTCCTAAATTGGTAAAGTTTTCAAGCCTAGAGGGTTAGGTGTGTCCCAGCCCATTTTTCTCTTTTTGTCTGGATTGAGTTTCTTCCTAAATATTTCATGCCATCCTCTGTGTCCTGCAGGCCCAGCTGTCTGCTCTCTCTCTGTTAATTTGTGCTGTTAAACGGTTTGCAAGGACTTCCTTTCCAAGTACCTCAATGTCAAGCTACTTCTATTACTCCTAGGACTTGCTGCCCTCACCTTGCTATCTTAGGAGCTCACTTTCTTTCTTTTCTGTTTGTTTTTTCTCTGTTCCCCATGATTTATTCCACTCAGGCTAGCCAGTATCTGGCACAGAGGCAAATACCAGGCTGCTAACAGATGTCACTGAATAAATGCATTGAATGAATGCTCTCTCACTTAAGGCTGCATCTTTTGACATGGTCTCTACTGAGTTTTTCTCTGGTTTATGTATTCTTTTAATGGGTATCAGGTTACCAGACTGTTTAAACAAAAATACTAGATCCTCTTGAAAAATTTGACCCCCAAATCCAAGATATTAGAAGTTTATAGAAGACAATGTGTATTGCATTTTTATCTGACAGCAGATCGTGCAACTTTGCATCTGTTTTTTGTTTTTCAAACATTTGTCTTTTGTTTTTTAATAATTGTGAGACCTGTTGTTTAAAACACACACATACTCTCAGTTCAATTCCACAGGGTGTGCACATCCACAAGCATCTGAAGTTTTAGAGTAAGTGTTCAACTTAACCAGCAAAGGATTATAGCTTTTATTCGAAGAAGGTCATCACATTGGGTAAAGAAAGATGTAGTTACCGCATCATGGCTTCCCTTGGACCCCAGACTCCCTAATAGGATGGGGCAGCTGAGGTACTTGGTTCCTTTGAGGTAGGGTCTTACCAAGCCTGAAAACCTCAGTTCTTATTTTGCTACTGCCCTTTTGTCCATATTCCGAATCTCTTATCTTTCATCTCCCTTTTAGCTCCCAATCTGTGCTTCTATTTTCATGATATTTACAAACATCAAGTTCTCATAGCTCTTAATCCAAATGCCGAATCTAGAAGCCCACATCTCACCTGGGGATGAAAAGCAGAGCCCAGGGCTTTCGGTAAAATGTTCCACCCTCCAAGGTCCAGCATTGTGAGAAGCCCACTTCACCGAGAATTTTGCTGACTTGGCAATCTCTTGTGACCAAAATCTTGCAGGTTATCTGTGATAATCACAGACTCTCTCCACATTAGGTCCTGACAAAGGGTCAGCTCCGGCTGCCATAACAAGATACCACGACTAAGTGGCTTAAACCATAGTAATTAATTTTCTCACAGTTCTGGAGGCTGGAAGTCCAAGTTCAAGATGTTGGCAGGTTTGGTTTCTCCTTGGCTTGCAGATGGCTGCGTTTCTGCTTTCTTCACGTGGCCTTTCTCTGTGCACATGCACCCCTGGTGTCGCTGCTTCTTCTTGTAAAGACAATAATCCTACTGGATTAGGGTCCCATTCTTATGACTGCTTTTAACCATGATCATCTCTTTAAAGGCCCTTTCTCCAAATATAGTCACAATATGGGTGAGGGATTCAATATATGAATTTTAGGGAGCACAGTTCAGTCCATAACAGACAGAATACTGAACCATAGTTAACCAATTTGGGATAGCAGATTTTCTGCTGAAAAAACATTTCTGTCTGTATGCTATAAAGTGTCTTGGGTTTTGTAGCCAAGACATCTGGTTTCATATCCTTGCTCTGCCACCTTCTAGCTGTGAGACCTTGGGCAAGTTACTTATGCTCTCTCTGCCCCAGTCTTTGTATCTGCAGAATGGGGATTATAAAAGTATCTAGCTCATCAGGTTGTTATGAGGATGAAATGAGTTAAAATGTGTAAAGTGCTTATTTTGATTAATAGCATATAAGAATTGCTCAGTGAATGTTAGCTATTTTTGTTATCAAGAAATTACTTCCAGTTATGGACTGAAGTGTGTTGAAGCCCTAACCCCCAGTACCTCAGAAAGTAACAGTGTTTGGGGATAGGGCTTGTAAAGGGGTGACTAAGTTAAAATGAGGCTATTAGGGTGAACTTTAATCAAATATGATTAGTGTCCTTATATTTTTTAAACATTTTATGTATTTATTATTGTATTATTTAATTATTTTATTTTGGTGTGGGGGGCTAATTAGGTTTATTTATTTTTAGAGGAGGTACTGGGGATTGAACCCAGGACCTCGTGCATGCTAAGCATGTGCTCTACCACTGAGCTATACCCTCCCCCTGATTTAGTGTCCTTATAAGTCGAAGGAGAGACACCAGGGGTGCACGTGCACAGGAGGACACATTGTGGGAAGAGGCATCAAGAAGGTGTTCATCTGCAAGCGAAGAAGAGAGGCCTTAGAATAATCCGACCTTGCCAGCACCTTGACCTTAGACGTCTAGCCTCCAGAGGTATGAGAAAATTTACTTCTGTTGTTTAAGCCACCCAGTCTGTGATATTTTATTATGTCAGCCCAAGCACTCCCTAGAAAGAACGAGCTTGATGGCGTCCAAACTATCTCTTCCTAGTTTCAGAGAATTAGGAGGGTATTCCTTTTGCTATGAAGATAACAACCAGAAGAAAGTCACTCCATCAAAAGAAGTGATCTCATGAACAAGCAGAAAAGGGCGCTGTGAGTTTTTGAAAGAGAATCACTTTCTCTTACTGAGGAGGATACTTCTGTCACACATTTGTGCTCTTGGGAGAAATGAGTTTGATAACCTGCTACGTAATCCTTCTTAGATGCAAATATAACTGTTGCAATGCACACCTTATCACATAGTCTAAGATTTTTCAGAAATAAAAACATTTTTTGTTCTGTTTTTTAATTTTATTTTTCATTACAATGTTAGTTTCAACTGTACAGCAAAGCAATTCAGTTGTACACATACATATAGTTATGTTTTCCTTTCAGATTCTTTTCCATTCATGTTATTACAAGAAATTGAATATAGTTCCCTGTGCTCTACAGTAGGTCCTTGTTGTTAATCTATTTTGTATATAGAATAATGTGTGTCTGTTAATCCCGAACTCCTAATTTATTCCTCCCCTGCCCTTTTCCCTTTGGTAACCATAGTTTGTTTTCTATGTCTGTGAGACTGTTTTTGGTTTGTAAATAGAATCTGTATCATTTTTTTTTCCAGGTTCCACATATAAGTGATATCATATGATATTTGTCTTTCTTTGTCTGACTGACTTCACTTGGTAGAATAATCTCTAGGTCCATCCATGTTGGTGCAAATGGCATTATTTCATTTTTTTTTCTTTACGATTGAGTCATATTCTGTTGTGGATATGTGTCACAACTTCTTTATCCAGTCATCTGTTGATGGACATTTAGGTTACTTCCATGTCTTGGCTTTTATAAATAGTGCTGCTATGAACTTGTGGTGCATGTATCTTTTTAAATTAGAGATCTGTCTTTTCCAGATATATGCCCAGGAGTGGGATTGTAGGATCATATGGTAATTCTGTTTTTAGTTTTTTAAGGAACTTCCATACTCTTCTCCATGTGGCTGCACCAATTTACATTCCCCACCAATAGTGTAGGAGGGTTCCCTTTTCTCCACACCCTCTCCAGCATTTTTTATTTGTAGACTCTTTGATGATGGCCATTCTGATCAGTGTGAGGTGATACCTCATGGTGGTTTTAATTTACATTTCTCTAATAATTTGCCATATTGAGCATCTTTTCATGTGCCTTTTGGCCATCTGGATGTCTTCTTCAGAGAAATGTCTGTTTAGGTCTTCTGCCCATTTTTTGATTGGGTTGTTTGTTGTTTTGATATTGAACTGTATAATCTGTTTGTATATTTTGGAAATTAATCCCTTGTTGGTTGTATCGGTTACAAATATCTTCTCCCATTCTGTAGGTTGTCTTTTTTGTTTTGTTTGTGGTTTCCTTTGCTGTAGAAAAGCTTTTAAGTTTAATTAGGTCCCATTTGGAATTATTTTTGCCTTTGTTTCCATTACTCTAGGAGACAGATCCAAAAAGATAACTGCTCCAATTTATGCCAAAGAGTGTCCTGCCTATGTTTTCCTCTAGGAGTTTTAGAGTATCTGGTCTTAGATTTAGGTCTTTAATCCATCTGAGTTTATACATTTTGTTGTTGTTGTTGTTAAACACTCCTTATCTTTAAAAGAGTGCTTCTGGTGAGAGCAAAGTTGAAGGTGGGCAAAGGAAGCATTGCCCTGAACAGCACAGCTACACAATGAGTGCTGCCTGGCTGGTCAGCAGGGACAGAACAACAGGAATCAGGCCTCCAGCACCCAGGCTGCTCTTGACTTCATAGTGGTGACCAAGTCAAGCTTACGTTCTGAAAGTGGCTTCATAACAGTCCAGCCCACGTCTGGAGAGCAAGCAAAGATGTGCGTACACATCATGCCATTTCACACTAGTGAATCTTACTTATGGAGAATTTGTGTCTAATACTTTTCCTGTTTCTTGAAAGTCCCAAAGACTGAACTTCTAATAGGCAACTCTAAGTAAGAAACATGTTTACATCACAGAAGCCTCTACCGTTGGGAGGAGAAATACTGTTTTTGGCAGTGTAACCTGGGAGACAGAATCCTCCACCTGGAACAAAACAAGCCTTCCCTTTATGATGCTCCCTTTTTCAGGTCCACTGAGTTAGGTGTTGCAAACAGGCCAAATTTGGCTCACACATGGGTTTTGTTGGGCACACGTGATTTTTAGGCAGGTTTTCAACTTGAGCAAGTTTAGACAAAGCATTCACTTTCCACTTTGGCACAATTGCCGACACTCCCTGATTGTCTTACACATAACTTGCCGGTTCCCATGAATTTATGTGACTTGCCTGGCTCCTAAATGTGTTTAGCTTGCAGCCCTTGATAAATGGTTCCCTGACCACAGTCAGAGACTTTGCCTCAACACAGAAAACAGGTTGCGTGTGTGTTTTTTTTTTAAGCTTTTGCTGTTTCCTACACGTGGGTCAGGGAATCCTTTCATCACATTTCACACATTCTGGATATTGGAGGGATCTGGAATGCTGCCACCAATGCAGATTGCACTGTAGACAGCAGGAAATGGACTTTCCTCTCCTCAGCTTCTTCTAAAACCTGAGAAATGAGTTTTGGTTTGTATGTCACACCCAAGTTATTCTTAATTTTGAGGCTGGACCTGAGCTATCCAATACAGTAGCTGGGAGCCACAGGTGGTTATGGAGCACTTAAATGTGGCTAGTCTGAATTGAGATGTGCTGTGGGCGCAAAATACACACTGGGTTTCAAACAGTACAAAAATTATGTAAGATAATATCTCATTCATATCTTTTTATATTAATATTTTTAAGTGATAACATTTTTAAATATTTCATTTATTTATTATTGTATGATTTTTATTTTGGCAGGGGGGAGGTAATTAGGCTTATTTATCTTTAGAGGAGGTACTGGGGATTGAACCCATGACCTCGTACATGCTAAGCATATGCTCTGCCACTTGAGCTATACCCTCCCTCTGCTAAAGTGATAACATTTTTGAGATACTGGGTTAAATGAAATATTTTATTGAAATTAATTTCACCTGTTTCTTTTTATCTTTTTAAATGTGGTTACTAGCAAATTTTAAATTATAAACATGGCTCACCTTGCATTTTTATCGGGCAACACTAGACTAGAAGTTAAGCAAGGTGAATTCTTAACCACATCAGGTTTATTAAATTCATGATACCATATGTTGAGTTTATTTATAATCCTTCTATAAAACCCGTTATGAACAACTATTTTCCTTTTCCACAGAGCCTTTCTGGAGTGTGGTGTTGAGCTGAGGGGCTGTGCTGACAGGGAACACTGTGCTAGGGAGATTTTACATTCAGGGAACAGGTGAGCACAATAGGCCAGAAGAGGCTGGGCAGGAAATTAGTTGTCACTTGGATGTGTGACATGATTTATTACCTTTGTCACTCATATTTTTCTGTCAGGCAGCTGCTGGGCTTCTTTTAATGTACTTGCTTATACATACGCACACACACACACACACACACACACACACACACACTCTCACACACATGCAACAGTGGACAGAGCCTCCTTTAGGGGTTCTTCTCTTGGCATATAATGAAGATTCCTTTCCAGTGGGAGGTGACTTTGGTATTCTTTTAAAACCCTAGTGGCTGTTGGAGATCATTCTTGGACTCTCTCTTGATATAGGAATTACAGGGATAAGAAAGTTACGACATCAACATTGAGTAGTGTATGAGGAGGTAGGAGGCAGATGGTACGGTGGACAGAGACCAGAGATGGGGGCACTTTGGGTGCTGGTTCTGCCCTCCAGCCCGTGCCCTCTGAGGGTCTGCTGTTCCTGCTCTAAAAGGTGGTGCCGATACTACGTGAAAAGTTACTATGCAGATCTACAGCGACAGCAGATGCAAGTGCTTTTTAAATTCCAAGATACCCAAACTGATGTTTTTATCAGGGAATAGGAGCATTTATTCTGTAATCATAATTTCAACAAACATTTGGTTACTTACTGAGTGTGCGTCTCTGCATTGCTGAGTTTGACCTCCTATAAACTTCATTGTCAACAGAGAAGGAATCTACTGTTAACATACAGGTTTCGTTTTACTATACTTTTACCCACACTCTATGGATTAGAAATTTAATCCCGAGATTGGTAAATTTAACCTCAGTTCTGTTTGTTGCGCCCAATAAATAGATATTAAATATTTTAAAATACTTAAAAAATATTTTAAAATTGCCTTGCTAAGAAATATGTCCTTTAATCCATGGCTCTAGAAAGGACCTTTCTCAAGGACTGGGCATAGTTCACTGAGGACTTCAGGAGCTGATGAATTTGGTTACATCTTCAAATGCTTTGGTTTGCTTCCCTCTACTCTTTTCATTCATAAGTTCTTCTCTTTTTAATAAGTGAGTTTTAGCTCTTATGATACTCTGTGCCATCAAAATAACTTTAAATTTAAAAATCACATGTCTAAAACATTTTAAAGAAAAAAGATAGGGTTGGGGTTGGGAAATGCAGCACAGCATGTAAACTGTCTCTGAACTTACTGCAGTGTCTCTTTACCTTTGGCTTTAGCTGGCCAACTCTTTAGTTCAGTCTCTGATTCGGAGCGAAAACATAAATCTTGGTGAGAGGAAAGACGCTGGGTAATAGGGATGAGATAGAAAATAAGCCTCATTAGGAGCAAGAAGGGACACTGAACCACGGGTAAAGAGATTGGAAGGCAGAGGACAGGTAACAGGTAATCAGTATCCTTAAAATATAAATAACTTACAAATAAGTGAGAATGACAATAAATTCTCAGTAGGAAAATGGGAAAAAGTTATAAACATTCAATTCACAACATAAAGTAATACAAATGGCTAGTCAAGAGAAGACTAGTTAACATTCTAATAAATAAGTACAAATTTAAGGGAAATACCATTTTAGCTTATCTTTTTGGTCAGTAATAAAATAAGCACTAATGTCAAGTGTTGGGGAGGATGTTGGGTAAATGTTCACTCATTGGTGGTAGCATTGTAGGGATACAATCTTTCTGAAGAACACTTGGCAATATATATTAAAAACCTTAAAATACATGTATCCTTATAGTTAGAAGTCTGATTCAAGGAATTTATCCTAGATTAGGACACAAAAATGTATGTATAAGTTTATTTCAGCTTTTATTGTAATGTCAACAACACAAAACATAAAAATCCATTAGTAAGGCACTGGTTATATAAATGATGATATACTCAAATACTAGAATTCTATATGGTCATTAAAAATGCACTTTCATTTTCTATTTCTAGACATATAAATATATTCATGGCATATTGTTAATTGAACAAAAATGATTATGTTATAGCTCTTTTAAAAAATACTTACATTTATTTGGTGTACATGAAAGGAAAACTAGAGAAAAAAAAACAAAGAAAGGTAAGTTTTATTTGCAAAGTTTTTGCAAAGGAGTTTGGACTTTAGAATTGGCCTGCCGAATAAAAAAATAGGACAGATATTTAAAGAAAATGCCCACAAGGTTACCAAGGTTGCAGACAGCCTAATCATGGAGGGAAAATTGTTTTCTCATCCAGTTATCGTATCAGTGAGGGGTATTGTATATTTGTAGATGTCAGCATGGCAAAAGGCAGGAATAAAGCTATTTTTGTTAGACATCAGTGGTGATGGAGTTCAGGACACACTATCCCAAAATATGGCACAGTGCGTATTTCAAGCTGAAAGGAGTTTGAGAAAACAGCAGAAGTAGGAAAGTCATTCTGGTCTTTCCTCCCTACCCTTCTCCCCTGAAACAGGTCATAAAATCCTCCTGTGAGAGGTGCCTTCCCTATACCTGGGGGAAAGGAGCGTCCTTATCTTGGAAGACGAAGGGATGCGAGAAGAATCCTAACCAACAGGCCTTGCTAAATTTCCCCTGGCTAGACTTACCTCATACTCCCAAACCTATCATATTCCTCCACGACCGTCCATTTTTCAGCAAACCTAGCATAAAAATACTCAGGTCTAACTGTCTCTACAGGTCTTATTTCCTTATGAAGGCTCTTATGTCACAGAAAACTTGTATGCTTTTTTCCTGTTAATCTGTCTTTGTCAGTTTAATCTTTAGACCCAGCCAAAGACTGAAAAAGGTTGAGAAAAACTTGTTTCTCCCCTACGGCAGCACACAGGAAAGGGATACAAAGTTCATCTGTTTAGGGGACTATTGCTAGATAGTGATTCTGTATTTTCACTTGTTTTGGAGGTCAAAGTGCTTCCTACCCGCTCCTCCCGCAACTCATAACAGCAGTAGGGAAATGCTACTTTGCTTTCTCGCACAGAAAAAAGTGTGGAAAAATACACATCACAAGGTTAAATAAGTTACCTCTAACAGGTAGGATTACAGATAATTGTAATTCACATTTTTGTCTTTTGTGCTTGCCTGTACTTTCCTATTTTTTCTGTCATAATATTATTGCTTGTGTAAAAACATTCTGATTATAAAAGCAATACATTCTGCTAAAAGTATGTAGTCTCTTAAAAATATATTTTAACAAAGACTGTACATGTAAATAGATATATAAAATACTGATAAGAGTATTGAAACGGTCTATAAACTAACCATCAGAAGTATCATTTTGGTGTATTTGCTATGTCTGGTATATTTTCTTCCAGTTTTCTTTCCCTTGTTTGTTTTATTCTATAATCTGCTTCTTTCCTCTTAGTAAATGTAGTGCATGCATGTTCCACTACTACTACATTTTTCTCATAAACTTTTGACGGCTTCATGAAATTCTATATACCACATTTATTAACTACCTTTGGACATTTGGGTTATTTCCAATCTGTGCTATTGGAACTATTAAATAATTTTAGTTCATAATGAGCATCTTTATTACATAAATCTTTGTATGAGCTTCAGATTATTTCCTTAACTCCTTGGGATTAGAATTACAAAACAAAAGATGAGAATTTTTTGAGACTATTTACACATGTTGCAAATTGGTTTCTAGAAAACTGGACACTGAGGGCTGAAACTAACTACCCCCCATACAGTTTACAGCCTCCATTAACATGACTTTGCCTTCCACTGTTCTCATTTGGCATGATTTTTCTCTTCCAAGAGACTAGCTCAGGCAAACGAGTTGTTTGTTCATTACAGGAACTTCCTGAAAGACCCATCAACTCTTTAACGGAAAGCACCCTCACATTCTTTGAATCCTTGCTTCAAAATGCTCATCTTGCTGTTCCCACTAATGCTGGACTGTTGCATCTTGATTCTCACTCAGTGTTAATCAAGCCCCCCCAGCCCTGCTGCCCCAAACTTTAAACTTCTGATTTTCGGTAAATCCCAACTTTGCCATCCCCTGCCCTAGACGCAAAGTGGTGCAGGCTGGTGTCCTCCCTTACCTCAGCAGGCAGTTAATTCAGCTTTGTCTCAGCGATTTATATTGGTATCAGTCTATACATTTTTCAGAGTATAAAAGCCCAGGTTGGGAAATCAGGTTTGCAGCAACATAGCCAAAGGATGATGCAATCAGATGTTAACCTAATCAAGCAGGCAGCTCTGTCAGTGGAAGACTAATCAGGTGTGTTTTACTAAGTGTACAGAAGGCTCACTGGTAAGAACACTGTGTGTCCTTTTTACCAGGAACCTTCTGGTTTATGCCTGTTGTCCTGGTAAAATTATTAATGGCAGCTCTTTAACTTTTAGAAGTGTCCTGTTTTAGGGTATGCATTCCAAGGAGTTCTTTATGTCAAGCAGGAACTATTCATCAGACTTCATTCTGACTCTATTCTAGTCCTCCATAATATTACCAATAATATTTTATTACTAGTAAATATAGCTCTCAGTTATTAATTACCTGTAAGGGACTGCCCTGGGCTATAGGCTTCATGTGTATTTTTGATCTCATGTAATTATCACAAAGGTCCTGTGAGTTAAAACTATTATTACCACCATTTTACAGATCTATACCACCATTTTACAGATCAGAATCCCCACACACAGTCCCCAGAACTCTGTACTTTTGAAAGCTTCAGGGTAATTGCAACGCATCTGCCCATGGCTGGGCACTCAGGAACCATTGTACTCATTGATGCAGGAGAGGTGATGATAGATGACACAGACATCCTGTCCACTAGGGACTTGGAGCTACCGAGGGTGTTAGACAAGGACATAAATGCCCGATAAAGGTATATCAAATGATAAAAACTAAAATAATTTTGTAATGAGTTTGATGTCCTTCATTCAAGGGGAAACAATTATTGGGGGAAGTTCAGTGCCTCACAAACAGTGGAGCACCCTTCCTGAGGCAAGGGTGAGTTTTATACAGTGTTAGAAGAGGCAGTGGGAAACGGGGCATGATTGTCTAGGAGGCTGGGATCTCCTTAGGAGGTGAGCATGTCCTAGTCTTTAGGATAAGGTGAGCTAGTGGGTTGGAGGATTGTGACCAGTGTGTGTTAGGTCTCCTTCACAGTGTTTCCTGTAGGTGCAGACTGACGTAGGTTTAGATTTGCAATGTCAGCTGGGCCGCCTCCATTTTGTCGGTCCCTAAATACGAATTAACTTTATCAGATATAAACTGCTGTGAAATCGACTCAAAGTACAGCTGTGGTGTCTAAGAGTTGTACTATTTGCATGGAGATGGAAGGCAGAAATTTCTGACATTTGGAATGGAGAAGACTTTGGCTATTAACTTCTTGTTTGATTTTTAAAACTTTTATTACATCATAGCCCTACAGAAGATTCTTGGTAAAAGGAAAATTATTTTAAAACATTCCAATCCAAATCTGCTTTGATTTGTATCTCTTATGGTAGAGGATGGTTTTCATGTGTCCTTGGGAGGAAAGAATTCAAAAATTGGACCTTAATGGAGCTTGGTTTATGGAGAGAAGAGAGAGTGGGTACAGTGAATGAAGTGTTTGTGTGGATAGTAATGAAATAGTTACCTATAGGAGCATGCTGTTTATACGTGTTCTTCCACAATTTCCTTGGTACTTGAAAGGAAAAATGTTGCCATGGAAACAGTGTTACAAACAAGGCAGAATTGCATACAGATGAATCACAACATCATATGGAAGATAAAAAGCAAATGTTATCCTATTAGGGCTGGCTTTATAAAGCTTAAAAATTACAGCAAATATTTCAGTGAGGCTTTCTTATTGTTTCTCTCAAAGGAAATGAGGGAAGTACACAGGACGGTAGAAGCTGTGAATTATATTTATTTCCGTAGTATTACTGCATTGGGGCACAGATCTGTTGCCTCAGCCTAACATGGTGTCCCAGGCTTTTTGACAGGGCACTGGTTGAGATGGTCTCATTCAAAGATGTAGTAGAGGAGTTCATACACACACACACACACACACAAGATGAACATGACAAGATGTCCTTTTACCTGGTTGAAAGAGCCAGGTAGATAGATCACTCCCTTCAGGGTGTGAGGCAGAGAGTGAACTGACAGTGCGGTGGTTCTGGGGCACTGTGGTGAGCCTTTCTGCAGGGCAGGATTCTTGATGATTCTTTGGGGATCTCTGAGATGCCATGCGCAAGTCCCACAGTCATGTACTAATGCAATCTAAATTAACTGATTTAGGATATGATGACATATCATCTGTTGCTTTAAGTAAGCTATGTCCTGGGACTGGGGAATGACTGTGTTATGGGCATTTTTTTTTACTTTTGGACACAAAACTGCGAGGACTGATGGGCTGCTCTTGGTTGTGAGACTTATCTCAGTGATTCTCAAACTTAAGCCTGCTTCAGGATTGCCTCGAGGGCTTGTTAAAACTCAGATTGCTTGTCACTACTGGGTATATGTCTGAAAAAAACAAAAACATTAATTTGAAATGATACATGCATCACAGTGTTCATAGCACCCTTATTTACAATTGCCAAGATGTGGAAGTAACTTAAGTGTCCATCAACAGATGAATGTATAAAGAAGATGTGGTATATGTATACCATGGAGTACTACTCAGCCATAAAAAGTAATGAATTTTTGCAGCACCATAGATGGACTTGGAGGGTATTAAGCTAGGTGAAGTAAGTTAGACAAAGACAAATACTGTATATTACTTATATATGGAATTTAAAAAATACAACAAACTAGTGCATATGACAAAAAAGAAACAGACTCACAGATACAGAGAACAAACTAGTAGTTACCAATGGGGAGAGGAAAGTGGGGCAGGGACAGCACAGAGGTAGGGGATTAAAAGGTACAAAGTATTATGTATAAAATAAACTACAAGGATCTATTGTATAATGTGGGGAATATAGCCAATATTTTATAATAACTCTAAGCAGAGTTAAAAATCAAGACTCACTATATTGTACACCTGTTAACTTATACATATTGTACATCACCTATGCTTTAATTTAAAAAAAACCCCCTCAGATTGCTGAGCGCACTCCTAGAAGTTTTGAATTGGCACTTCTAACAAGATCCCATGTGACATGCTGATGCTTTGGTGAGAGGACCACATTTTGAGAACCACTGCTTTACCTGAAACTCACTTGATGGAGAGTATGGGATCATTGGTCTCACGGTTTCCTTTTCCGTTCCCGCTAAGGGCGGGGCGGTAACGTGGGCAGGTCTTCAGTGGAGAAGAAGGCTAAAGCTGAGAATTCATCGTCGGAGGTAGGTTTAGTGAAGAAGAGGTTAAGAAAAGGAGTCTCTTTAATTAGTTTCGAGGCAGTGCAAGAGGGACTATTTTCTGGACTTTTCTGTAACTGACGGAAGTTGAGAACAGAGATGTGAGAACGTGCTGCTCGGAATAGTTCTCCGCTGACAACATTGGCATCACAGGGAAGCTCATTAGAAATGCAAAATTTTGGACTCTACTCCAGACCCGATGAATCAGAGTTAGTGTTTAACAAGCACCCCAGGTGATTCAGATGCAGGTTAAAGTCTGATAAGCAGGGGGTGTAAGAGACAGACAGCCAACTTGGGGCCAAGACACCTGACTGCCTTCCCGCAGCTCTCTGGCCCTTACTGGGCTTCCGAGGGGGGCAGGGGGCGGATTAGTGACCTGCCGGT